TGTCTTTTTATTCATAAAAACAATAAATACAACTTTTTTCACATATTTCGGCAATATTTTACATAAACTTTCTTTATTATACATTCTTGCTGAAACAAACATCAAATAATTATATCACAACTTTATTAAGTAATATTTGTCACAACGTTGTTAAATAATATTTGTCACAACGTTATTAAGTAATATTTGTCACAACGTTATTAAGTAATATTTGTCACAAAGTTGTTATGTAATATTTGTCACAACGTTATTAAGTAATAATTATCATAACGTTACTAAGAAATACTTATCACAATGTTATAAAGAAATATTTATCACAACGTTATTATGAAATATTTATCACAACGTTATTAAACAATATTTATAACAACCTAATTAAAAATGCTTATCACAAATTTAAGAAATGTTTATCACAACGTTATCTTACTTATTATAAAACGCAGATTGTGTGTGTGTGTGTGTGTGTGTGTGTGTGTGTGTGTGTGTGTGTGTGTGTGTGTGTAACGTTTATATATTAGATCGAATTTCCTACATTTTTAGCCGATTTCAACAAAACTTCACAGGACTAGATAAAATTACCTTGTGATGGTTCTAAAGGCGCCGAAAATGGGAAAAACAAAATTGTTTTTTAACAAAATCAATTTGAAAACACGATTAAGACACATCGTGACAATGAAAGGCGGACAACTCACCTACGAAAATGTAAACAAAAGAGCATAGCATGATGAAAAAAAAGCCGGACTTGACAAAAACAAAATTTTATCGTCTAATGTTCATATTATTATTAAAGAGGAAAGATCAAAGTATTTTGGGGGTATTTTTTTACATTTTTTAATCGTTCCTAGCACGTCTGAAATTTTCGTTAAAAATATTGTTTTTTTGTCAAAAAAAAAGGACAGATAATCAATCATTTTCAATCATTTTTTTCGATTTGATAAAAAAGATTAAAATCTGACTTTGATATTCTTTTAAAAATCAATTATCATTTTTTCAAAATTGATTTTAATAAAAACAGAAATTATACTGTTTATTTAAAATATTTTGAACCAAGATTAACTTAGCTTCTGCGCCGAAAAAATGTAATTTGAAAATAAAACAAAGCAGGTCATAACCTTTCGCGTCGCTTGACGATTGACGAAAGGCACATTCATGATGTTTAGATAACTTACGGGAGGATAATTCTTTCTACGGATGGAAGGAAGTGAAATTATTTAAGTGAACAAATTATTTACCTCGTTTGTTTTAAGGAAACCTTTCAGCGCTCTAATTTTTTATTTATTTATTTTTTTTTTTTTTGTACTTAGCTTTCATTTTTACGTTTATGATGCTTTATGGAAAATATAAAGAAATTAAAAGATAAGACTGTTAATAGTGAGATTAAATTTCATAAGAAAAAGGTATCTAATTAATTTAGGTACCTTTCTTATGAAATTTTATCAGAAGTGTACATAAAATACTATAATTTATGTACATTTATTACATTTTACTGTGTTATTTGTATTTCCATTCATTTTATTATTAATTTTGATATTTCATTTATGGAAAAATGTCATAACTGAGAGTAATATAAAAATAAGATCATATAAATTAAAGTTTAGCAGTAGTTATATTTCATAAGATGATACTGTTACTTGTAGGTACCCTTCTCGGTTGAAATTGAAAACTCAAATTAACTTCTCCATACCTGTTTCGCAAAAGTAAAGGGCTTAACAGCGGAGAACAATGCTGAACTCAAACCGTACTTGATAATTACTGTCCGACTATAAACTCAAATATTCCATTTCTTAATTACCATGGCTAATCTGATTGGTCCAAATTATACAATTTTCAAAGCGCTAGACAATGACAATCTCACACAGACATTTTGAAAGGTTGATGTTGCTTTTAACTAATGTTAAAATATTTTTAAAAATTCAATTTAAACATTTTTAAAAAATCTTTTTAAAATTAAAGAAATAAGAAATAATTGTATTAAAAATTCAATTTTCATTGAAAAAATTTTTTGATTTTAGAAAATATTGTCCATATTCATAAAAACAAATTAAAACAAATAAAAGCATTTGAAACTAAATAATATATTTGTTTTATTGAGTTTTGTATGTTACAATTCACAGCTGATTTTCAGGTAAGTTGGCCAAAAAAAAAAAAAACATGATTTGCATTCTTCAAAGCCTTGTGCTTTTAACTATTGTAATCACTAAAACCGATGATCTCGAATTTCTAGAGTTTTTCATAAAATTAGTTATGGGCGTGTTAATAAATATAAAAAAAAATATTTCTGCCATGACTTTAATAAAAAAAAACATATTTATAATAATTTCGATCATTTGTGAATAATTTCTGAAAGTTTCATTAACATCTGACAATTATTTTTATTTTTGCAAGATTTTCCAAATTAATGTGTGTAAATACAAAAAAAAACGCGCTAAAATTATCTATGTTATTTACTACCCCTTGTTGCGACAAAGAGAAACAAGGTTTTTTTAATCAAAATTTAGAATATTCTAAAAAGATGGAAAAAATTTTAAAAATAATTAAAAAAAAAATTTAGTCTATCCTCTTCATAAAAATATAGGCATTTTGACAATAAAATTTTGTTTTCATAAACTTTGGCGTCTTTTTCATCAGACTATGTTTTATGTTTTAGCGATTCCATGGAGTGACTTAGGTTAAAAACCCAGGTTGTGTGTGTGTGTGTGTGTGTGTGTGTGTGTGTGTGTGTGTGTGTGTGTGTGTGTGTGTGTGTGTGTGTGTGTGTGTGTGTGTATGTGTGCGCGCGCGCGTGTGTGTGTGTATTCCTTTATATATGGGATCGGATTTCTTACATTTTTCAGCCGATAAAACAAACATCCACTTTTTTGGTGGGGACAGGTAGTATTTCTTATTGTCTTGCACACTTTTTTCTTTATTTACATTCAGAATGCTTTAAAAATTCCATTTACAAGACAATTGTTTATAATAAAATTCTATTCACCAATCGATAGACTCATAATGATTGAAAACAATGTTTTTGTTTGAATTTGGATTTGACCAATTCGTAAAAAAAAAAAAAAAATAATAATAATTAAGACATGCGTGTCTGTCAACCTTAAACAATAATCTTTGTCAATTTTATTTTTCAGTCTTTATGATGGTCGATACTTGATCTATCTCTTACTGTTATATCCCCGGGCAACGCCGGGCTCTACTGCTAGTTAAGTAATAGCTATCAGAAAGTTTTTAATTAATTAATACTTATCACAACGTCATTGTGATAAACATTACTTAATAACTTTGTGAATAAATATTACTTAGCAATAGAAAATATTGATGGATTTTAAAACTTGAATAAATGTACAGTAATTTGTTTTAATTCATAACTAATTATTAAATAAATAAACTGAAGCCTACTTCAATAAACAAAAAGTTCAATAGAATGACAGTATTGGAATTCAATAAATAAAAAATCAATAAAAGGACAAGGTGTTTAAATCGATTTTATTCGGATGAAGATTACTGTCAGTGAGAAACTTGTGAAAAGGTAAAAGAATTTTCTCTCCACCTTGAAACCTAGAACCTGGGTGGTATTTGCTCTACTAATGCCTACTAATGTGGGTAAAGAATAAAGATTTTCAATAATAAGTGTATATCATTAACAATTAATTATTGAGTGGAAAAATCTTGGAACGTGGTAAATGACATTGTGACATATGGTGAAAAAAAATAAGATGCATTGGGCAAAATAAGTTGCGAACCACTGTTTTGGATGTTTGACATAGCTGTGAAGAAAGATTTATAGAATTATATAATACTTCTTTTATATAAATAAAATAATATTGTCATAAAAATCGTAATATCATCCTTTTGAATCAGCATATTTCTCTTTTCTTTCGTTTTTTTTCCCTCTTCGATGGCCTGTTTTTCCTTCGCCTACATCGGACCTGATGTTTCAAATGAAACGGTAACTATGATGGCATCAATGCTGCTGCTGCTGATGATGATGATGATGATGATGACACCAATCCCTTTCCTCCTTTTATTGTTTATCTAAATCATAACTGTATTCCTCTTGCCCATGGCGATTTACCATCATTATTATGATAATTATGCAACTGGATCGTTAATGTCGAATACCCACCGTTGCAAATTTAAATTTTCAAAACCGGATTTTTTCTCTTTGAATTTTAATCTAAAATTATAAAATGTAACAATAATATTTAATCACGAAATTAACATATATGGGAATTTAATTGTAACACACACACACACACACACACACACACACACACACACACACACACACACACACACACACACACACACACACAAATAAAAAAATATATATATATATATATATATATATATATATATATATCATTGTCTTCTAAATATACAACATACAAATAATAATATAAATAATAAAACATAAATATATGTTTATTTAATTATACGTACACGTATACTAATTTACAACCAAATAAACGTATCAACAACGTTTAAACTGCACTATAAACTAACTGTAAAATGAATCACCTATATTTTCTATCCATCCAAAAACAATGTTGTATTGAAAAACATGGTCGCCTCTACAAACTTAACATTCGACATAAAAAATAATTTGCTCGCAACCACGAAATAATTTCTATCCATCTGTCTCATATTCAAAACATAAATGGCTAATTATATATATATTAAAATTCCTTTTGATTTATTATTTATTTCTGATAAACATACAAAAATTCTTTTCACAAACGTCTCTAATTTGGGGATCATTGCCAAACACAATTGATAATTTACACCAATATCGACACGTAATAATAACCACCATTCACGATACAATTACATCCCAACATTTCTTCACTCATAATCTGAAACTAACACCCCCCCTAAAAAATAACATTGTGTTTAATTTCTGCTTGATATTTATTTTCTTCTAAATACGAAATATTTCCCTGGTGCTTTTTGTCCGTGCCCCACCGTTGCGCACCCTCTCCTTCGAATTACGGCCAATTATTCTACAGAACAGAGGAAAAAAGCCAATTCCCGCCGGACATAACTCCTCTCATCTTGGCAGCGCACTACAACAATCACGAAATCATCCAAATGTTTCTGTCACGGAATCACACCATCGAAAAGCCGCACCCAATTTCATGCAAGTGTACCGGATGTGTCACCAAGCAGAACTACGATTCGCTGAAGCGATCGCGTTCCCGCCTGAACGCTTACCGGGCCCTCGCCAGCCCAGCCTACATGGCACTTTCCAGTCCAGACCCCATCATGACGACATTTGAACTGAGACAAGAAATGCAAAAACTTGCAGAAGTCGAAAAAGAGTTCAAGGTAAGTAAGTAACGGATTGTATTTTTCAAAGAATAAAGAAACATCCAGATTCTATACTCAGAAGAATTATTTATTTTCAATAATTGTTCACAATGTTCAAAATAAAAGATTTTATACAAATTACAGACAATAATTTTACATAGAATTTATCGTTAATACTTGGAATTTACAAACGATACTTTTACAGAATGAGAACACGTCAAATTTATCGACAGTTATAATATGCTTACATTTCCGATTAGAGCACACTTCAAACGATTTCTTGAGAAAGAATGATTAAAATTACTTAATTTGTGTCAATTTTGCATCCCTATGAAAATGGAAGATTATAAGATGCATTTTAGACACTTGATGCTTTTTTTATCCGTAAAGGCAAAAGTACCCCACAAGCAACAGAAGAAAAAAAACATGTACTGTATACGGAGGAGGTACGGTGGTGTAATGGATAGCGGCTCGGATTGAGGAATCGGAGAGCCGAGTTCGAATCCATTAGATTCACTTACCTGCTAATACCCTCGGGAAAGGTATGAATCCTCTTCTCCTCTTCTCCACACCCCCAGTAAATAGATTCTATAGTCTTGGATTACAACTGGTCTACAGCAGAAAGAAATGGCAACCTCGTCAGTCATGTATCGAAAGATACATGATCGCCTATGCGTGTATTACGCATGGCACATAACTGACTGATTGTATACGGTGAAGGTGCTTTCACTGTCCGCATTGTAGCCTTATTGATGAAGAACTCAGGAATTGGCAGAAACACTAAATTTATCAAAATCCTTCATCCATGAGCACTGAATATTCGAATTACTACGATGTTTGGTTACCACATGATCTGTGTGAAAAGAATTGTTTGAATCGCATTTCATTTGTGATTTGCTGTATAAACATAACAAAGCAAATTGTGACGGGTGATGTTTACAAAAATGTTCAGCGAAAAAGATCCTGAGGTAAGCAACATAGACCAAGTTTAACCACCTCAAATGCAGGTCTTCATCCTAAGAAAGCCATTCTGTGCATCTGGTAGGACACCTGTACTATGAGCTTCTGCCAAGTAACCGGTCAATTGATTCTGAAAAGTACTGCTCGTAATTGGACAAATTAAAGGCAGTAATTCAAGAAAAACGCCCAGAATTGGCGAACAGGAAAGGTAGTGTTTTCCATCAGGATAATGCCAGACCTCACGTTTGTTTGGTGAACCGGCAAAATTTGTTGCCGCTTGGCAACCCGCCATATTCACCAGACATTGCTCCTTTAGATTTTCATTTATTCAGGTCCTTGCAAAATAATGTCAATGGTAAAAATTTTAATTCTTTGGATAATATAAAAATCTACCTTAATGTGTTCTTTGCCAAGAAAAAACGAAATTCTGGAAGAGAATCTTTAAATTGAAAGAAAAAAGTTTGTGCAGCAAATTGGTTCATATAGAGTTGAATAAATTTTTAAAGGCATGATTTTGTTTTGTGTTTTAATTTCCCTTAAAAATCGACATGTACTTTACGGACAACCCAATACATGGAATTTATAGAATGTACTTTTACATAGAATCATCATAATTCTCCTTATCCTTCCTGTAGTTACTACGACCATTACGCCATGCCAATACCTCATATATAATGGACTATTCCATTTTTATCGCGTGGATAGAAGGAAAAGACATATCAGAGACGCTATCTGTTTTCAGTGAGAGAAAAAAGAAATAAAGAAGAAACAAGTGTTTAACGTCTGCTTCAGTGAAATGAAAAAGTTGTCAATTTCAAATCATTTCATGTGTACCCCCTTAAAATAACGAACAACATTCATATTTATGATTGTTATTGCAATATTTTGATAAGTTTGATAAGCTTAAATATTTAACGATGTGATAGGGGACTTTCTGCATATATTCTATTTTCCTAGGAAAATATAATATATGTAGAAAGTCCTCATGAGTTTATTTAATCATTAACTTAATAATTAAGATTCATCAGAAAATTTAAATAGGAAAACCGTGAAATACACGGGTATTTCTAGTTTATAGATAATACTTACAATTTATAGATATCTTTACATACGGCTAATAGACAATACCTAGGATTTATCGACAATAATTTACATAGAATTTCTAGCGAATACTTACTTAGGATTTACAGGCAATATTTGATGCAGGTTTTATAGACAATGCTTAGGACTTAAAGGTAATATTATACATAGAATGTGCAGACAATCCTTTTATATAGAATATATATATACAATTCTTTACATTGAACTTATAGACAATACTTAAACCAATTAAGTATGGCAGAAAAAGAAAATGAACATAGCTGTTCCAGGGGTAGCTTCGCCCAAAACTGTAAATTGCTACGAAATCAAAACCAAAACATCAGCCTGAAAACTCGAATCATGTTCTTAAATAGCCTCGTCAGATCAAGACTTTCTCATGGATGCCATGAATGGCGCCAAACCAGTTCAGAAATATCTAAGCAAATATCTGTAGAACAACAGCTTCCTTATATCAAGCGTTAAAAATGACTTTAATCGAGTGACGCCTGTGAGTTATGTCAAAGGTCATCCGTCTTTAAAAGTTGTGGAATAGCGCCAGAGAATCACAAAGAAAGAATTGTACCAAATAACAGAAATCACATCACTTGAGGACTACCAAGAACGGCAACAAATAAAATGGTAAGCACATGTAAATCGAAGATCGATTGATTGATTTTCTTTTACGGATTATAAACCTGTTGCAGGTTATTTAAAACCGGAAATTACTTTTAGTTTGTATGAATATTTTGGAGATAATGTTTTACTGGTAAAATTCCTACTAATTAACCCATAGCTTGTAACTGGTAAGTGGTACCTGGTAGCTGTGGAGGTGGGAGAAGAGGTTGGTTCATACCTTTCCCAGGGTTATTTGCGCATAAGTGAATATAAGGAACACGACTGGAATTGGAAATCGGTTATCCGATTTCCAATTCCGAACAGTCATACGTTACACCCTATCACACATCCAAACTTACTCTACCTGATCTTACACAAGTGGTTAGCCGTCTAGGTACTGACCAGATTCAATGTTGTAACTCAAAGAGAAAATAATGACATAATAAGGATGTTAACATTTCACACCACTAGTTAGGAAGGAACATCAATACTGGAAAGCATGATAATAACTACTGGACACAGAAAACCTATTACCTGAAAAATTGTTTTAAAGGAAAGATTTTATGAATTTCAAAAGAAAGCCATAGTGACTGATCGATAAATGATTGTTTAATAGGGAAACGGCTAATATTACCATTAACAAAAAATTATAAACAGTATTTTAATGTAAGAAGAGGGCGAGAATCTTCTCAGCTCGAAGAAGTATTTTCAAAAGAAAACTTATGATTACACATTTGGTCATATTTTTGAAGTAGGTCAAACCGATGACTTTTTAACACTTCCTATAGACAGCAATTCGACGTATAGACCATAGAGAATATACAGTTTCAGATTTTATTACACATATCAGTGCTTTCACAATCAAAATGGTATTAACTAGTCATTCTTAGTAAAGAAAATGTCAAGATATATTTATATATATGTATGTACGCAATATATCTAGCCTTATAATAATTTGTTTTTGAGGCGCCCAGCTTTATTATGCAAGCAAAAAACATCATAAATTTTACTGATACAAATCCCAAAATGATAAGTACTGAAATTATCTTTCATTAACGCAATGACCATCTAACTGAATAAATTATTTTATTATATTAAAGGTTTTAAATGTTTCTTTCATATTCTGTATCATTCATCAGCTTTTCAACCAATGATTTTATTTTTAATGTTTCAGCTTTAACATTACTAGTTTTTATTACTTTTCAGCAATCTTCGAGGCTGGATACTAGTTTATTAATTTGGTGTCTTTTAAATTTTTTGTTAAGATTGCGGCCACTAATAATGAATCCTGGTAGAACTTCTAATTCTCTCAAACTGATATTTTAAGTTAAAATGCAAAATATTATATTTACAGTTTGAAAATTGTACCAAGGACGGTTTGTTAATATCAATGTTATTGGGAAAACATTGGCTTATATTAAAAACGTGAAAGGAAATATATAAATATGAAGATATAAAGATAAAAATTTAAGATTCAGATATGCATACACCAGGAAAACTTAAATCTCCGGCCTTCACGACAACGAATAAATATGCGTTCTCAGCAGAGTTTAGGATTTTATTAACGACTTTCAATTTGCTTTCTTCTGTAGATTCTCTTGCATTATAAACTATTTGGTTAAAGAATTCTATGACACATTATAAACTTTTCCCTCTGTCTATGTAAGTCCGGAGTTTCATTACGAAATGAACAACAAGAAAAATTTATTTTTGAGCACCTTCTTTGGCAATTCTATTAACACATAGTTTCGGCATTAATCACGCACATCAGACATTATACACTGAAAATTTCAGCTATCAATTTTCTCAGGCTACGGATTGTGGATCCACTCTTATAAAAAATATGCTTTCCTATCAACTCCAACTTCATGTGTCAGACACAAAACTTAGTGGGTAGAAACAGCAACTTAAAAAACAAAACGACTATTGCGTAAATTTTAAAAAGGAACAACATATTTATTTACAATTAGAAATTTGAAAAGTACAAAACAAGAGTTGCACAAAAAAATCCTTTTGGACAGGATAACATTTTCAGGAAGCAATAAAAAGATTTGACTCAGAAACAGGAAAAAATACAAGTCACTAAATATGTTGATAAGATACTAATTTGTTTGTTTGTTTTTTTTCTTTCAGAATGAGTTTTTGATTGAATAATATTTTTTTTTCCTTCAGAATGAGTATTTGGGTTTGGTCGAGCAGTGTATGGATTTTGCCTGTGAGTTAATGGATTTATGCCGTGGCACCCAAGAGGTGGAAGCAGTGCTGAGTGGCGGCTGGGGTGACTCCAGTTTCAGGGACCCTTTAGCAAGGCTCAAGATGGCGCTGAGATATGAAGAGAAAAAGGTATGGCGAGGCTCTTCTTTTAATTCAAACAATCAAAAGAACACCATTCCCAATAACTGAATTCGGGGCGAAGATTTCTAGTTCTTGATTTGCTTAAAAAATCTTTTATTTTCCACGATTTCATTGCATATAAAACATTCTTTTGTTAAGGAATAAAATCAGCTTTATGATATTTAAAAATCTGTGAATTAGTCCTCCACGATATTCTCTCAAACTTTTTCCCAAATATAGAACAGACAAAATTAAACTTCATTTAAATTCGTTTCCCCATAACCCCACATTCAATTACTTTCAACCCCTAAAATGATTAATAATTTTTACTTAATATAGTTCACAAATAGTCATGAAGGCAATTCAGATATGGCAAAGAGAAATTGTAAATTGCTTTCTTTAAATGAAAAGATGACAATTCTTGATTTAATCAGGAAAAAATTGTATGCTGAGATTGCTAAGACCTACGATAACAAATACTCTTATGTCACATAGCATTTATTACTTTACATTTTTCATAATTGTTCTATTTTATAATAACTTATTGTTGATAATCTCTTATTGTAATTCAATTATAAATTGAAATTTATCATAGATATGTATTAAAAACATCGTATAAATAGGGTTTGATATTATACGCATTTTCAATCATGCGCTGGGTTTTAGAACATAACTCCAGCAAATAAGTGGGAGGATTGCCGTCTTTCATATTTACATGTTGCCACCGCAACGTTTCGATCGTTGTGTACTCCGGCCTTCTTCAAGTGTATGTCGATCCGGGTAACCTACAGGAAATTCCCTTTATTTAATCTCGTTCCACTGCCAATGTCTAGGGGTATCTTGTTCAGGTCTTATTTTTGGTCAGTTATTACCCGCGCCGTCCAAGTACATATTGAAAGCAATGGTTCGTGAATTTGTTATCTTTGTTACTGTTATTACAGCGTTTAGGTCGTTGTACCCTCCGACCTTCATCAGGTGTATGTCGATCCGGGTAAAATACAGGGAAAGCCGAACTGAATCCATCATTTAATCTACAGGGTGTAGACTGTTCTCGTTCCACTGCGCATGTCTAAGGATGTCTTATCGAGTATAAAATTATAAAAATTAGTGGATTTAAATAAAAGCGGATACATTATGCAACAAAAAGGGGCTTTTTTATTCATAACGAGCGAAAAATAATTTAAATAAATCTTGTATTTAAATGTTTTAGACAAATTCTATTTTTACTTTTTTTTTTTTTTCAAATAATTTTTTCTAAATATTCACACTCCTCTTCGATCTTCTGAACAGGAGTAGTGGTTTATCCCTTGTTTCCTGTTTAGTATTGGGTTTCCATTTCCTTCTAAATTCTATTTCAACTCTATACTTCTAACGTCTCCACCTAAACTTTGAAATTTATACTATTTATTTATTATCTTTTTCCCACAGTAGGAGCTGATAGGTTCACCTATCGTCCGGTTCACACTCCTTCCTGGTCTTTTGAACTGAAGTAGTGGTTTAATCATTCTTTCGTGTTTAGAATTGCGTTCCTGGTTCCTTTTAATATTGTTTCCTTCTGTTTCCGTCTTAGTGGCGTTATGGCCTTGAATAAGTGAATTGATTTAAAATTCCGTTTAATTATTTTTTTTTGCTGCTCATTTATTGTTCAAGACTGAATTCAAATAACTCTGGTACCAAATTTACGAACCAACCCTTTGATACACTAGGCTATTATCTCGTAGGACAATTCCCTGGGGAAAATTTGGAGCCTTAAACCTAACCTAAATGCTGCTGCTGGTGCTGTTTGTCATACATGATTGCACTCAATTTTATTTTTCTCGTTTGTTACAACAAGAAACAAAGAAAAGAAACAAAGCAAGAAAAATTTATGTCTGAATTTTCGGGATCTGGATATATATATATATTACTTTTGGGAGCAGGAGATATCATTATTTACATTCTGACTAATAATGGTATCTTTGTTATCATGCCACTGTTTCGGCAATTATTCCGCCCGGCCTTCGTCTGTTGTCTGTCGATCTGGGTAATCTTCAGGGAAATTCGAACTGAAGAATTTCCTGCTGCAAGTTGAGTGTCCAGGAACAACAATAGAATATCTTCTTCATTACATAACAGACAGAAGTAAGCCACTTGTTAAATTCGCCAAATTCCAGTAGATAATTGAAATTGAGAGACAAATCCTTGCAATTTGAATTTGCCTGGAGATTATACAGTTAAGACTTTTGTTTAAACCACATGTAGTCTGTGTTATCAAATGTGGCGGATACTTGCTTATGGTAAAGTGCGATGAGTAGTTTTAGTTAGGTTGGTTGAAGCTATTTAATGTTATTTAAAGGGCTTATTTAATGTTGAATATTTGTTATATGTTGCACTCAGTGAGGATCAAACTCATAATTCTTAGTCTTGTGGCGTTTCGTTTGTCGAATGTTTCAGGATGGAGAATAATTCCTACGAAGCCCCGTAATCGCTTTTGAACGCTATCTAGGCTGGACAGTGAGGTTTGGGCAGCACCAGCCCAGATATTGCAACAATAGTCGTTTCTTATGTCTCATCTTACTCTTGTAAAGATAGAGCATGATAACGGAAGTTAGTTATTTTCTAGAGCAATACAAAGAACCAACCATTTTTTCAGCATCTTTGGCGACAGTACAAATAAATGTATTTAACATCTCCCTAGGTAGGGGTTAAATAACAGGAGAGACTGGTTTCTTTAGCCTTTCAAGGTAACCAGTCTAAGAGAAGGAAAAATCTGAATTCAAAACTTTGGAGAATCGAAAGGGAAACAACTTTATATCTTTCCCAAGTTGACATTATAATTCACAAATAATAAAAAGGACATTGTGGAGATCCATGATCGCATATGTTCTAAAGGTACATGGCATTAAAAATGCTTATTAATATATTTATTTTTAAATACGTAATAAATCCGGGTTCATTTCGATAATAACAGACTGCATTAATAATTTTGTTAAGGGTCATTCAATAAGTTTCGGCAACACTTTCTCCGTCTGTATAAATTCGTTTGAATTCGCAACAGACGAGAACAGAACGAGACGAGAACACAAAATAAAAGTAAGAAAAAAAGAAAAAAAAGAAAAGAGAAAGGTAAATCTCAATTCTTAAATGATTTCAAAGCACTTTTATTATCCATTTACAACCGCTATGATTTCTTTTTCAGCATTAACCTATTTTCTTTGTTTTATTAACGTATTTCTTTAGATATGGAATTACTACAGTCACTGATTGCAGAATAGGAATCGTAATGGTTGCTTTCAGTTGATATTAACAGATATTAAAATTTAACAGTAGCAGATAAGAAAATAGGTTCTTCAAAAATTCTGTTTATGACTCAATACACAAAAATCATTCGATGTATGTATGTTTTTCAAATAAGTATTCATTTTAAAAAACTGTATTTAACCTCATCCAGCAATATAAAAATGAAGCAAAGAACTAAAAATTATGACAAAGATTTCTTTGTTAATTGTAATAGAATATATATTTTAAAAAAAGTTGAATCATGAAATTGATGTAACAAGTAAACGGATTTATAGGAACAGTCGTTCAATGTTTAAAGGCATAGACACTCAAGATAAGAAACGATGCAGAGACGTTAATGGGAGAGAGACAGAGAGAAGAGGAGAGCTGGGGAAGAGATTTTGCAAAGGAAAGAAACCAAGTGAAGGAGGCTGATGGGAATAACTATTATAAAAAAGCCCATAAAATAGCTGGCATGTTTATTCAGCTCTTGGTGATACAGTTTCTCAATTCTCGAGGCGACTGAACTTGTCTCATTTGACAAGCGTGATGCAGGCACTTAACCATTACGATGTTCATCGGAAAGTTCTTTTGTCGGTGTCAATTCCTCTTTATTTCTCTCAAACTCTCAATAGTATTAGTTCGATACTATTAGTCAATTCTCTATGAACTATGATATGTGACTAACTTGTGTTTGGTGTAAGTGACGTAAGTAGGATTGTCTATATTAACGGAACATTATCAAGATAACTGTCATATTCATCAATGAAAGACATTCGTACATACATACATACATACATACATACATACATACATACATACATACATACATATAAAGTATATCGGGACTAGTGTTATAAAAAGAAAACTGCAACACATATCAAAGCAATCATTACGATTCCTATTCTGCAATCAGTGACTGTAGTAATTCCATATCTAAAGAAATACGTTAATAAAACAAAGAAAATAGGTTAATGCTGAAAAAGAAATCATGGCGGTTGTAAATGGATAATAAAAGTGCTTTGAAATCATTTAAGAATTGAGATTTACTTTTCTCTTTTCATCATAAGCAAGTATCCGCCACATTTGATAACACAGACTACATGTGGTTTAAACAAAAGTCTTAACTGTATAATCTCCAGGCAAATTCAAATTGCAAGGATTTGTCTCTCAATTTCAATTATCTACTGGAATTTGGCGAATTTAACAAGTGGCTTACTTCTGTCTGTTATGTAATGAAGAAGATATTCTATTGTTGTTCCTGGACACTCAACTTGCAGCAGGAAATTCTTCAGTTCGAATTTCCCTGAAGATTACCCAGATCGACAGACAACAGACGAAGGCCGGGCGGAATAATTGCCGAAACAGTGGCATGATAACAAAGATACCATTATTAGTCAGAATGTAAAAAATGTAAATAATGATATCTCCTGCTCCCAAAAATAATATATATATATATATCCAGATCCCGAAAATTCAGACATAAATTTTTCTTGCTTTGTTTCTTTTCTGATTTTCCAGGTTGACTTGAACAAGAGAGATCCATTTCATTTCCTTTATAACTACGTGATTTACAGTTAAAAGTGGAATTGGCAATTTCGGCATTATCCGGTGCTGCTTCACTTTATAACTTTCAAAAATTAACAATTTCCGTCCTCCTAATATGTAATGCATTTTGATGTGACTTTACGGTGATTTATCTAGTCTTTTTGCAAAAAAAAAAAAAAAAAATGAATAATTTTAATGAAGAAAAGTATATTAAATGTCAAATTTGAGTAAAGATCTTTAAACAAGTCATTCAGATATATTTTCTAGCTACCGTCTGCCTTTCTCCCAGGCCACATCTCTAGCGCCTCCATCACCGACACCGTGGCTAAATCACTACACCTAAAACCTCGTGCATTGGCCCTGTAGATGTCAGCTGCCTGAAGTAGCTAGCATGTGGTGAGTTTTATCAAGATAATGACAACAAAGTACATATAAGCGTTCGGACTTTCAGCTATGGATAAGAAAATGCGTTTGTGTATAAATCTAAAGTTGATTTTATTCTTTGCAAAGCAAATCTATTCTTTAATGGCAAAATACCGCTCACTTTGGGAATCCAAGATAGAAAATATAGTTCTGGAGATAGAGAAGGCAAAACGAACTGCCTGGTCAACGTTGGCCAAAGTGTCCAGTAAGATAGATGCACATTCATTCTCAATTTCTTGTCTAAGTGCCGCCAATGCAGTTGGTTGTCTGCGATACACAATATCCTTTAGGCTCCCCCATAGTAAACAGTGCTATCGCAATTAGATTAAACTACGAAAGACAAGTTTTTCCTTTCCTGGAGTGTGTATACATTTTTTTGGCGGACTCTGTATATATTTATTCTTTTTTTGAGAGATTACTAACAATTCTTCAACTCTGGATATTGTATACGGTGAAAATTGGTAAAAAATGAAATCAAACGAAGCCTAAAACTGGTGATGACTTATTATTTTATTTTTCAGTTTGTAGCACATCCCAACTGCCAACAACACATGACGAGTATTTGGTATGGATCGGAAATGGGATTCCTTCAGTCCTTAAATTGGTGGCGGAAGCTTCTCTTTGGCATTATATATATTCCTTTTGTGCCATTCTTTTGTGCAGCTTATATTATAGCCCCAAACAGTAAGGTAAGTAGAAAAAGGCTGCTCTTGAAACAAGCACAGTAAAGAAATAGGTCAGTAACGACAATACTAAAGAGAAAGACGAAAATGACTTTAGTGAAGGCGTCGCAGTGTAGGGTAGCTGCTGTTGTGAATAAGGATCTGGTCAAACAAATTGATTCTCTCGTTGCACTTTACGAAATAATTGATAATCTGTCAAAGGCTTCAGGTAAAAAACAGTTGTGCTTATCGTCCAATGAAATATTTCACCGCTCAAATGTCTATGAAAAGTAGGTTCGCAGAATGTTTATTCAGTTCATGAAGGAGGTTAACGGTACCCTAAGACTTACATCTGTTTGGGCCGATGAAGGAGACACAGAGAGAACAGTTTTATATACAATGATATCGAGAAAGGTATATCTTGGGGTGGTGATGGTTAGCGAAGCTCGTCTGGTTGACCATAAGAAGTGATTTCGATCCTCACTGGGTATTCTACACAAAATTCGACATTAAATAATTTGACAAATGTTAACGTTTCAAAAAATCATCAAATAAAAAAAAAATTTCTGAAACTTGCTCTCATCCAAACTTGGAATGCAGCAACTGAGAAAAAAGACAATATTGATATCCCGAAATTTTAGTCTTCATTTTGCTAGGTTTTGTGTAATTTTGCTTTCAAATTAATTGTAATAAAAAAAGGGATTAATATGCTCTCGAGCATCCCATTACTGAACGCGGAAAAAGCTTGAAAAATTCTATATTCCGTAAAGAAGTGGGGGGGGGTGCTCATTTTACACCTTTTTAATATTTAGCTGTCAGTCTCGTGCAGTTGCGGCAAAGTGGCATACCACGAGCTGAAATTAGGTGCGACGTGAAAGAGCAAGATTAATATTCAAAATGTCAAAAATACAAACGGAAATTCGTAATAAAGTTCCTATACAACCGTCAGCTACAACTGGGGAAGACGTTTAGTTCCATTTATAGTGTTGTTAGACGAGATGGTGGATAACAAGTACATGAAGTCAGTCTGGATGAGCGTTTGTAATGGAACGGGCGCACAGTTTCATAGCTGGGCACGAGTGGTTTATGTACAATAGATTCCAAAATATCTTTACATGTTCTAAAGCGCGCGTCAATAAGAAAAGTTTAGGAACCATTAGCCTGGTGCTTATAAAGTTCGGTAAGCCTCAAAGCATAAATTGGGATCCGATGTTTTAAAAACAATTGTGGTATTCATTTCTCACAGAACTGTCTCCTGAGTTCAGTTTCAACTGAATACTGTATTGTGGTATGTTACTCACCCTAAAATAGACTTTTCCCTCAGTATCCTACAGAGAATCCTCATCATATAACCTCCTAACCATCAAGTATAAATTCAAGCGGTTCACCCAATGTTAGTGTCTGTCACCGACACGTAAAGACATATATATATATATATATATATTTCCACCCAATGGGGAAATACTCTCTCTCTCTCTCTCTCTCTCTCTCTCTCTCTCTCTCTCTCTCTCTCAACTACTTAGAGTGGGCTCCAAGATACACACACACACACCGTGCGATGACAACGTCGCGCTACAAGTAATTGTATAAATCAATGTCCGTGTGTGTGTGTGTGTGTGTGTGTGTGTGTGTGTGTGTGTGTGTGTGTGTGCTATTTTAGCACAGCAAAACAAGGCATTAACTCAATCCATCCTGCGCACTGCCGTGTTGTTTTTCATCTGTGCATAGTTTTATTATTTGTATGCCACAATAAAAGAAATAAGAAAGTATAAAACGACATAAACTATGACCCATTATATTATAAGCGTGTCATCCAGAGTAATGTTTTTTTCATAACATCTCTCAGGACAATACAGGTTACAGTCCATCTCTTTGCAAGTAACATATAAAAGATTGCAGTTGGATATGATACCAGCAGCGAATAATAATTGCTAGCCTGGTTTTAAAATGAGGATTGTACTCTGCACACTGATCTTTTGAATTAACAATAAAATACATACATCAAATCCAGGATTACCGATTCCATAATTATTTGGAATTATAATACGCACTTGAGTATAATACGTATCACTAACTTTGGGTTACGATTTGCAGCAACTAAAATTACCTTAAATTTAACATCTTATCTAGTTCACATCAATTCCAAATTTGCATGTTTTTCCTTCTATTTTGAAACAAAGTTTTCAGTGTTCAGAGGAAACGCACAGACCAGAATCACTCAACAAGGCAACAAACTTGCGGCAAAAATAAGTTCACATTCGAAGAAACAAAATTATAAATAAATGCACATTCCAGTGGATAATTGTTATTTCTTTGTAAGGACATAATACAAAATAGGTCCATCGTGGTAAAGTCATTCAAAAAAAGTATGTATTACAAATGCACTAAGTGGCAGTAAAGATAACATCCTTTTTGAGGAATTGTGAATGTGAATCTTTTGCCAAATGAATTCACTTGATTGGCTGAGACAAAACAGCCAATTACATAAAGGCATTCATCATCGTACAAGATCCGGTCAATTAGAATATAAAACAGAAGGGTCTAAGTAGCAACCGGAATTTTCGGTTGAGCTAAGCCCACGCAAAAAAGGAAGTTGATGCGTGCGGCTATGGCATTATATCCCCGTTAATGTCAATCAATTAGAAATTAAGAAAGAACTCATAAATATTTATGGATCTTTGGAGTTGTAGAAAAAGTTAACTTGAAATAGACTGGTTACCATTTTGAGGGCCATGGTCGAAACTGTGTTAACAGCCCGAATAATCAGTACCTAAAGCGATTGATGTCTGAAGTTGATGTTAAATTCTTGATGCAATTTCGTATGTTTTACATTATTATTATTATTCTTTTACGTTTTGCATCCTTTCAGGAGGTGAGCGAGCATGGCTCTACACAACCTTCTAATCGTTTGTTTTTACTATTTCACCCATTCTTTGTTGGGTAGGTTACTTACTTTTCCCCCTCTGTTCTTCTTGCCTACAATCTGTCCCGAGAGTGTCAAATTCTTATCTTACTTCATTACGTGCCCCAGAAATTTCGTCCATATCTTTCTAATTCTAAGTATGTGCTGTTTTGTTTCTGTTTTCCTTAAGACTTGCTTGTTATTCACATGCTCCGTCCATATTATTCTCGTGATCCTTCTGTAGAACAACTCCTGTATCGTGCCAAGTTTCTTCATTTGTGAGGAAAATGTTCAGCATTTATTGCCATATAGGAGGATAAAATTGCATAGCAGTTCGGCACTTTGTATCTAACAATTTTTCCCGTTTCTTAGTACTTTGCTTAGCTATTGGAATGCAACTTCCGCTATCGAAATGCACCTTCGGATTTCAGTGTCACATTTTCTGTCCTCTCTTAAAGCACTTCCCAGATATTTAAATTAAATGTACTTGATTGATTCCGACGTCTCCAACTCGTATTTTGCATCTTGAGTTGATCTTCTTACCAACAACCATATAATTTATCTTCTTGTAATTAATGGTTATTCCTTTCTTCCTTCTTTCCTTTTAATGAATTTTCCTTCTACGTCTATTTGCTTCTTTTGTTTAATTTTTAATACTTTCTTTTTGTTTCAGGCGAGTGCCGTCATGAGATGTCCGGTGATCAAATTTGTTACGCACACGGCCTCTCATATATGTTTTTTAATTCTGTTAGCTGCCGCAACTTTCCGACTCACCGAAAATGCTATCCACATTAGTTCAACAGATGAACTGAACTCGGCCCAACATAAGAACATGCCCCCCGACGAGCGTACGCACAGTCTACTTAAAGAGACCCTACGACCGGCAAACACTCTGCTTACCCATGTGCAGATTTGTATCGTGTTTTGGATATTAGGTGGGTAAAAAAAAACACAAAGGAACTGGAAGGTTTTTCCGACCACATTACTTTTCTGAAATCCTTTTCTGTTCATCAGTTAAAATCTACGAATATTCTTTCCATCTCGAATGATATTCAAATTCACATCGAAAATATTTAAGATAATTGATCCAATTTTCATGCGGAGTTCAATTAACAGAGCACCTGCGCGTCCTCGGGTGACAAAGAAGCGTTACCGTGTAGACCGTTATAATTAGAAGCTTGAAAATGGATGCATTACAATTTATGAGTACGCGTAAGAGTGGGTGTGTCATATGCTCGGAATTGAAAGAGCAATTCCGACATGACACAGGTTTCGATTTCGAGATCAAACAATATTTAAACCTACATTAATAGCCACCTTAAATAACATTCTTTTTCTAAGAGATAGATAGATAGATAGATAGATAGATAGATAGATAGATAGATAGATAAGAATTGACTGTGAAAACCTTTGCAAAATACAAGGATAATATTAAAGAGAGAAATGGCAAAATGAAAGACCAGGTGCTTCATTTATATATTTTAAAACCTGTTTTACTATTCACAAAAATAAGGGTAGCAAAAAATGATATTTTCATACAATGTTAATATTGAAATTCAACACGATTAGCAAAAAAGCAGCTCAATCGAGGACAAGGAATGTAGACACCGACTCAAAGACCACATATTAAATATATAATATTTACAGGCTAATTACATTTAAGTCTAACAACCACTCTTACTGTTTACCGATAGATAACTGTAAATAGATTCCATTACCTTCAAATGAAATTCAGAATAATTTTTCCTCAGAAGTGAGAAAATTTCTCGGACACAATACTGGTTTTGAGACATATTTGCATATATCGCTGAACAAAAAAAAAACTGTCAGTAAAATAAAACGTAAGAAAATAAAAAAAAAACAACTTATCGTAACAAAAGAGTTCAAACAAACAAAAGGACGTTCACGTTGACAAAAATTCCACAAGCTGAAAGAATTACCGGTCGTAAACGGTCGGTAACAAAGGAACGCAACTTCGAGAATAGAACTAACGATCGTTAGTCGTCATTTACTTCATACATATATGCGTTTCCCTATGGCCATGTGAATACTTTGCAAAAAAGTTTGATATATTTTTCTTTTTTTTTTTCACTCCCCCTCACTTTATCCATTTTTTTTCTTTTCTTTTATTATTATTTTGGATTTATTTTTTTTTTTTTTTTTGTTAATTTTCTGTAACACTCCCCCTCAAATTCTTTCTTTGTTTCTACGTGTTTGTATTGTCTTAATTTTTCATTTTATCTTTATTTATTACGTGTTAATTTATTTATTGTTTTCCTTTTTAAATATCTTTTAAGTCCGTGTTTTATCGTGTATCGTTCTGTGTTAAATTTCACGTTTATTTTGTTTAATCTGTCTTTGATATTTTTTTCTGTTTCGTTCGTTTTCTGGTCAGAATTGTTTTTAACAGCGACCATATTGAAAATTTCTTAATTGGTTGTTTCGTTTTTTTTTTTAAGCTTATCGTTTTTTATTATTGTTAAACGTTCTTTTTCGGCTGTATTATTGTATTTTTTTTTGTTTTGGACTTGTAACCTTTCTTTTTCCGTTTTAAAAGTTATTTTGTGATCATTACTTGTTTTATTTTTGTCTTTATCGTTTAACTTTAATTTTCCTTTTTTTTCTCGTTTATATTTTACTCGTCCTACTGTTTTGTGTATTCTTTATCTGGTCAAATTTGTTATCTCGTTTTAAATTTAAGATTATTAAAGGATGTCTATTTTGTTTATTTTGTAAAGCTTATTTGTATATTATTTAATTTTTCTCTTCTTTCCAAAACACCCTTCCGCTTCCCTTTATATATATATATATATATATATATATACTGAGTGGGTGCCGAAAAGACGGCTCGGAAAAATTTATTTGGGACAAAAATAATAAAAATGATCCCCCGTAGTGGTGGCCAAAATGACCAAGTTTTAAATATGGTGGCCGATAATAGCCAAAACTTAGAAGTATGGTAGCCGAAAAAGGCCATAGTTCAAGCACAGAAGAAAAAATTGTGGAGAATATGGTGGCGGAAATAAGCCCATGTTCTCCCAGGCCTAATACTGACAACAACAAAGATGACAACTCAGCGGTCGAGGAGAAGCCCTCTTGCTGGACGTCCCCTCCGAAATGCAAGATCAACATAACGGAGTTCCTGGAGAAAGCCAAGAGTTACACTCATCTTGTTACCAAAAATGGACTCTTGTCAAATCCCGAGGAACTGCAGAATGTTGAGAAACGAATTGTGTCAGTTTTTGTGGTCGACAAGCGTTCACGCAAAATTTGTCGCTCCACGAAAGACACCGTCATCAAATCATTGACGTCCCTGGGGGTTAAACCGCATAGAGTAATCAAAGGAGAAGGGTTTTTTTTATGTGGGACATACTGTTGCCCACGCCTGCCGACTGCGAAGAAATCAGCACTCGTGACTTAATCACAAAAGATCTGATTCTGAGGACTGAGTATCAAGTAGCATTATACGAGGTCCCTCTTCAAATTGTCGGGTAACACTTGGCCCCTTAACTGTGCCAATTCGGACAGATACTTAGTACTTCCTCCAATGATCTGAACGGGAGATGGAGCTTTGAAATAATCGCTGATTGCAAGACCTTCGTCTCCATCCCCAACTGCCTGGATGTTGAGGGCCAGAAAATGCCTATCATAGTTACAGACAGAAGACCAACTTTCTGGAAGTGTAGAGAGACTGGTAACCTTTCCTCTTCCTGTCCAGAGAAGAAGGCCTCTGTAGTTCTGGCCCCCACCGACCCAAATTCCCCTCTGACCAAGTCTGTTGTTTCCGTCTCGCCTGTAATGGGCATGCCAGCAGCCAGGGCCGGTGTAGTAAAACCCCCGGTTGGGTCCGTCTATCGGCCTCCACTCCCCGAAAAGCCTTTGCCCGCCGCTAGTGCGGTTGCGGAGAAGAAAAAGGGGGAATGGCAAGTTGTTGATAAGGCTAGAGGGAAGCTCCAGGCAGCGGGTCCTCGTCTCAATGAAGTCCCCAAGGTTAGTGACACATACAGTCCCATTCCCTTTACCAGCTCAAAGGGCAACTCCCCGACCCGCTATGCAGATAAACGCGACAACAAGAACTACATTATGAGCCTTCTTTTGAGAAGGCAGAAAAACTACAAAAACTTAAGGAATCTCTAAAGGAAAAACGGTTACCCAAAAAATCTTGTCCTATCTCCTCGACACCGTTGTCCCCTTCTTCCGAGAAGCACATTATGTGAGATTCCCGTCTCCTACGCCCTCCAAATTTACAACCCTAAAAAAGGCTACTTCAAAATACCGTTCCACCGCTACCAATACCCCCATTACCCCAAAGCCTTCCCCAGTCAAAACTCCCGCATGCACTCTTCCAAAATCTGAACTATCTAAAAGACAAAGGAATCAGTCTCTTGATACTGCAGAAAATTCTCAAACAAAGAAACCAAAACCCATATACAACATAGGAGTGGACGTGTGCCGGGTCTCCAAGGAGTTGGAAATCAAGGCTCTTCTTCATTCTAAAAAATTAAAGAATCTAAAGACTCTACTAAATTTCAGGAAGATTTAGATGTTGAATATCCAATGAACTTCCCAAAGGCGAAAAGGGTCTTGACTGTGATCCGTGCCGGTGAGCCGGGCAGCAGATTTGGTCCATGGTAGCAGAGGCAAACCAAGTTTTCTCCATGTTTCCACCGATGGCGTGCTTCGACAACGAAACCCTAAATAAGTTACAACAATTTTGTGCAGGGAGGTTCCCGCTTTTTATTCACCCTTCCCTGTATAGAGCTATTAAGTTAACTTACCCCTTGGACGTCGGTGGCCTGTCTCCCGATGGCTCCATCAATACTCAGATGGGAACTGGTTCAATGGGAGAGGCCGTCCGTGTCCTTTCCCCGGCCATGCTCAACACAGGAGAGCAGCACTAACTGGCTTTCATTATGGTTCTCTGGGGAGACAAGTCCGCCATGGTTAGTCGCGAGATCTGTTACCTCCACCCCTCTGATGGCGGTCTGGAGGTGCCTTGCGTTAAGATTCGTCGACATAGGCTTTGCATTACTTATCTAGACCGGATGTGTATGCAAGTGGATGAGAACGGCGAATTCTGGAAGGAAGACGCTCGTAGAAACTCTCCATCCTTAAGAAGTGTGCGCTCGTGTGAGGAAGAGGCCGGCCGTTCACCTCGAGGCGAGGGCTCCTTCTATCGCGAATGTCAGCTTGCTCTCAAGCAACTCTTACGAGCGAAAATGGCCTCTCCGACGTCCAGCCGTTGTCCCGTAAGGCATTATATCAGTTGTTAGGGAGAACGTTCAGGATGCTTTGATAGGTGAGCTCGGTCTGACGAAGCGGGAGACTCGCTGCATATGGCCTTGGGCGCCCGGGTTGAAACGTCTCACTAACACTGAGATGATGATTCGAGGGGCTCTCTGAGTCGCCAAAAGTCTTAGTTCGGCGGGTTTGGCAAAGTCGCCAAACTGCGTTCGCTGCAAAGAGAAGGTGGAGACCCTAGGTCACGCCTTTTTTCATTGTAGTGTCGTAGCTCCGTTGTGGAAGTTTGTTGAAAACATCATGGTTCGCATGCTGCGCGGAAGGTTTTTCGTCCTCGAGGCCAGTTCCGTCTGTAGCAATATAGTACCGCCGTTGACTAAGGCTAAGCACTATGTGTTCCTTTGCTTGATGGGGGGTTATGCGAGTTATGTTTTTTTAAAGCCCCGCATTGATTTCGTCCAGTGAACTGATGTTACTGCCACAAATAGGGATTGTGGGAGGCTTTATTACTAACAAAACTTTTGTTTAGTTTCTTGTATATAGTTTTGTACATATTTGTAAATACTCATTGAGTTTTTTTTAATTTTTTAATTGCTATTTTATTCCCCTCCCCCACAGACAATGAATTGTATATATGGGGACTAGTTAGGATTTCATAGAGTTTCTGAGGCATTATGGTCTATGGGTAAGAATGGTAAGTAA